CTATATTAGTATCTGTACTTCTGTATAAAGACTTTAACAAGACATGAACTAGCTCTCACTGAGTTAAAAACCAATTTTAAATGGTTTGAAAATGTTCGTCAAGTAATTTACTTAAATTATAATTATTCAAAAAGTCCTTAATAAAATACATAATATAAGACATTTCTTCTTTCTACTGGTGAAAAAAATCACATATACTGCTAATACCACATTTGCTCCTGGGTATTCAAATAAGATTGGATCCAGCACCTCCACAGGTGCTCAAATCCAAGGACATTCAAGTCTCTGTAAAAATTGAGCAGCATTTGGAGGCATATATTGCTTTTATAGAAGATCTGAGTTCCAGTTCCTAGAACCCACATGATCCAATTCACAACTATCTGTAACTCCAGCTCCAGGGGATCTGACATCTTCTGTGTGAACTCCACACTACACACATGCACACATACACACACACAGACAATATGAACATAATTTTAAAAAATAAATATTTTAAATGGAGCAGTATTTGCATATAACCTATATGCAACCTCTTGTCTGCTTTAAATCATCTTCAGATAACTTACAATACCTAATACAATGTAAATAATACGTAAACAGTTGTGTTATTGTCAGAATTCAGATACTGAAACCTATGGTATTGAGATGTGCTTTCCATACTCATAAATACTATTTCATTCTAAGGATAAGTGGAAACAAAGGTGTAATTATTTTTCCATTGCTATTTATAAAGCTCTGAGTTCTATGTAGAAATATGTTTCCCCTGACTTCCTATCTAAATTATGAGCTCTCATGATGGAAAGCTTTTGTGTATGAGTCTTGTGCACACACATTTACACTGCGTAGTCAGCCTGTAGGAGGCTGCTTTTGCCCAGTTTTGAAAAATTTATATTACAGTACTGCTGGCAATGGTTCTGGATTATTCTCAGCCCTCTACTATTTTCTGAGTAAAACTGAAAAATTAGCAAACGCCTGTCTTGTAGTTTTGCTAGCTACTTTTTTACAGTAGTTTTCCAGGATACCGGTGACAATATGTTTTCTTAAAAAGAAAGTTTTTTTTAAAAATTTTTATTTATTCCATGGGGTCACTGAGATGGGAAAACCAAAGTGCTTGCTACACAAGCCTGAGCACCTGAGATCAATCCTTGGAGCCCACATAAAGCTGAAAGGAGAAAAGCAACTCCACAAAGTTTTCCTCTTTCTTCCACACATGGCACAAACTTCAAACACACACAGACACAGACTCAGACACACACACACGGACACACACACAAACACAAGCACACATAGAGACACACACAGACACACACACAGAGAGAGACACACACAAAGAAACACACACAGACACACACTAATAAATTATTAAAATTCTCAAAGGATCTAAAAATATTTTTTAATTTTTAATTAATATTAAAAACAAATTCTATTTTAGCACTTATATGCTACAAAATATTATAGCCAATCAGTGTTTTTTGTGTGTCATAAATGGGACTCTGCTGAATGACATCTCACTTCTGACTCCATTCTTGTTTTCATCATCAGGAAGTACCACCTCACTTTATGAAATGCATATAAAAAGAACAAAAATAAGAAAATGCATATAATAAGAACAAAAATATTACTTAATATACCATTTTATTAAACTGATTCTGTTCTAAAACGGTATGCTTTATTCAATGGAAAACATGAATAGCTATAAAGAAATAAAATGTATTGTAATGTTAGTGCATAATTTCTCAAACTAGAAATGGGTTAAAAAGAAGAAATTATGTGTTAAGTAATGAAGATTTGGGGATTTTTCTTTGTATTTTAATCAATAGAATTCAGCGTAACTTGGAATTCAAAAATAAGATCATTCACATCTTTTCCCTAAAATATTAAAGAACATATGTGGTAGTTATTCTTAAAATCATATTCAACACAATTGCTTGTCATATAAAATGCTATTTAAATTAAATGTTGAAAGATAAAAGTCAGGGTAGCTGATAAATTTAGAAAATTAACATTTTAAGCAGCTTATGCAAACTCTATAACTGAACTTTTCACTTTTTCAAGATATTATCTAGTGCTAATAAACTAAATCTTTAGCATCAACATATAAATACACAAGCAGCATTACATAAACACCAGACCCATGTGCTATTTCTACTATAGAAGTCAAAACATGGACTCAGTATTTGAGGATTTGAGCAAAGTAAAGATAAAAGAGGGAATTACACATACCATCTTTATAAGAACTGCTCTAAATGCAAAGATAATCCCAAACTCTGTTCATTGAAGGTACAAGAATCAACATCCAGATGAAACAATGGACAAAACACATTCATGCTATTTGGATACCCAATTTCAAGGGTTTCCTAGGGTTACACAGGTTAAGTAACTCATTATTATTTTGAGATATATTGTCAATACTATGGACAAAGTTTACTGTGGTTTTTTTTTTTCTGCTCTCATAAGTTGTATAAAAAAACAAGCATTTATATTCTTGAGACATGAGATGTCTGCAAAATTCCCAAAACATTTTCTGAAATTTTATTTTATGCTTACAAATCTAGAAAATATCATGTGTTGTGGCACATACCCTTAACACCAGCATTTGGGAGACAGAGGCAGGCAGGTCTCTGTGAAATGGTAGCCAGCCTGATCCTCACCAGCTGGAGTTACAGGGGGATCCTGTTTCAAAAAAAGAAAAAAATCTAAAAACCACACATATGTCCCCCATAAATTTATCTCTTTTCACAAAGGTTCAAGCATTAACACATCACTCAGGTGAAATAAGACAGAAAAAATATGTTGAAGAAGTAAAAAGGATACAATCATGGAATCAAATGTCCACGATGATAAAACTTAATGTACACTCAATCCAGAATATATCAATAATGAGCCCAAAGAAAAGTAAATAAAATTCTCCTTAATTGTTTTATACTTTTGTCTTTAAAGGACATGAGCTGAATCTTTTCATAGACAATATCAAGTGTAGTAAATGAAACTTAGTCGAATTTCTTCAAAGAAAATCCAGGAAGTATACTTCATGCAATATTTTTGTTTCAGCTTTCTCTTAACTGATTACTTCAAAAGTTCATTTTTAGTATATTTTGGAAAATAAAACACATAATAAAAATTTAGCCAATAAGAAGTTAGATTATTAACACACTAGAGAATGCATGGTTGAAGGTATACATATTATGTATGTATCTAGGAAGACTGCAAATGTATGAAGCACAAAAACCACCATTCTGCTATACACTTTATTATCCTAAGTAGTATTTAGTACTTTTAGGTATGAGATATATGCTAATTAAATTTATACAGAGTATTACAAATGGTGTTTCAATCAGAGATATTTTGAATTGAAAATAAACAAATAGCTGAGCTCCCCAAACTCCAACTAATTAGTAAATATAATAAGGAGAAAAAAAATAGGAAAACTAAGAAAGTGAAATTCACACTTTATGGGTTTTGTCGTTCATTTTAAAAGCACAAACTATTTGTCAAGAGGCACTGAAGTCTAAACTATGAAAGAAGAAAAGGAAAATGAACACTACTAATTTGTGAAATCTTTAAAGATAAAAGGATTACATTTAAGTTCTAAATTTTAGTTCACAAATTCCTATGAATGAGATATGAATTTATTAAAATAAGTCATTCTCTCCTGAAATATGAAGGCTATTTAACAGCTGCTCAAACAATCCTTTAACCAGAACTCCTGCATGTAAGCATAATTTTCAGGGCCAAAGTTGAACAAGTTTTTCTTAGGAGCAAAACCAAAATGGGAAAACAAAACAAAAAAAAAGCCATAAAGAACAGTGCTATGAGGAAGTCAGGGAATGTTTGTTCAGGACATCACTCATCATCATCATCTGCCTGATCTAAAATTTTATTACAAAAGATGTCTAATTGCTGTAAATATTTTCCTACTAGCAAGAGACACTTAGTGGATAAAAGTACTTTTCTTTTCATGTAATTTTAAAAAATTCCTGTATTCCTGTCCTTCAGCCATTAGGGCTTCCCAGCAAATTCCTAAAGTCTGCTGGAACCACAAGAAACTCCTAACAGAGTACAAAGAGTAGATCTTGCTCTGATCTGAGCCATGGAAGTCATCGTCATTTCAATTAATTGACTTTGCCTTTATGAACTTAAGAATCTTTCAAGGAGGTTGACATTTCACTCGTCTGAAAGAGCTTGGAATGTGGCAGGGGAAAGGGAGAAGTAAATCAAAGAAGTTAGCAATTTTCCAGATGCAATGTATTTCTCTGCTCTTCATTGTTTTATTATTATTTTTAACTAGAAATTTTAGAGAGCCTCCTGACAGCTGAATTTCTCTATTCAAAAGCACAGTAGCAAAAATAATGCTTAAGATACAGTATGTCAAGAATCAAACACATGTCGATTTGAACATACACATACTCCAAAAAAATATAGATTTCAATTGTTCCTTTAATTGAAAACTTACAGTGTATTTACTAGATATTTGTGTGTGCAGTTCAATTAACAGGATTTTAGTTTGAAAGCAAGAGCACATTTGGTAATTTTTCTTGTTTTTGATCACTGAGTCACTGTGTCCACGCTGGCTTTTTTCATTTAAAAGCTGCATTTATAAAAACTGTCCTAGTTGACTAGATCTTAAATCACACCAGAATATTTCAGTTATCACCTTTAGCCACATGGTTTCGAGAAGCTATGCCCATATCGTTCATGCAAATACTGGTCATTTGAGAAGAGTTTTTTTTCACTAACTGGAAATTCACTAACACATCTAAAAGATTTTTAAAATCTTTGAGGCTAGAAGATAAATTCTCAGCAACAGGGGATATACCCATTGTGTCTTGGAGCCAAAGAGAGAGAAATGGCATTCACTCCCCATCCCCTGGTTCAATATTTACCTGACAGCGTTGATGTCTTGACTTTTTCCCCAGTGTGTTTCCTCCTTTATCAGGTATCATTTTACAAGGGATTTCTTGTTATACAGAACTAACATAAATCAATCTATCACAGAGGAATTTGTTTAATACATTTATTCCTTTAAGAAGTTGCATGACCATATTTCATCGACTTGTACAATAAGAGAAAAAAATCTTATTACTAAAACGGTTTGTGGAGGCTAGCACATGGTAAACCTATTTAGTCCTTTCAGAGGTTCATTCTTAGATTTTAATGTTAAATAATAACAACTATTCACTTAAGCTGGTCTCACTGTATATCTTGACCTTTAGCCATTCCACACACAGCAGCTTATTGTGGTATCCTTTAAATATGAGAAATAAGAATGTTTGACTTTTCTATGAGAAGAAAAATAAGAGTACTGTATGTTACATGGCCCATGAAATATTGGCAGTGTGCTCCTTGGCTTTCATTCGAAGAACGGCGATACTGGAGGACCTCCTTTCAAACTCTGGCTTGGTTTCAAATGCATGTCCATTGGTAGCCCCAGTCAGAAGAGAGTCAGTGAAAAAATTGTTGAGGGGCACGTGACTGAACTGGTTCTGATGGTTTGAAAACCCTGTGTAACTGGAATCTGTCCGAGGCGAGTGAGAATAAGGTGTCATGCAGGAGGAAGTATCACGTGGTAACACACACGAAGTAACCACAGAACCGCCACTTGCATTTCCTGCCCACAAATTGTTCTGAATCTGGAATACATAAAACAACAAACATTACGCTCACACATTCTCACTTTTGTGCTCTTACTTTCTTAAATTTACAAAATTTGATTAGCTCTTCATTATTCTTCCCTGTTGTGTGGTCTGTAAAAACAAAACAATGACTGAAAAAAATTATTGGAGGAATTCTTCTAGTTTGTAGACTGCAATAGATCATCAAAGCCCATTTACTTAACCACATAAAGTACTCTCAAAATATGTCAATTTCTTAAGTATTCTTTTTATAGTCATGATTTTTAAAAACATATGGAAGATTTAGTCATGATTCAAGTCTTCAATTCATGTGCTTAGGAAAGGAGTTTAAAATATGTTTTTAAGTTTAAAGATAGTTTTCATCTTTCAAAGTACAATGATACAACTGCAGTTTTTCAAGTTCTGAAGTTACTCTCTTGGTACAGCAGTTTTTGGTGGAAATCATTGCTGAATTTATGCTGTTTCCTGTGTAAAGATATTTTTATTGAATTAATTCAGAAAAGTGTTTGCCCTCACATTGCTTTTTATCATTTATCCTTGATTCAATTGCTGTAGGAATCTGAGAAATACATATTTCAAGCTTTTGTTCTATTATTTATATAAAATATAGGTAATGTGAAACAAGCATAAGACAAATAACAGAATTCTAAAAGAAGAATCATTATCAAATAATGGAAGCACAGTGGAAAATATGCAAATATTAGAAAATTATGATGTAAGTATAACTGAAGTACTTTATAACATTGCATACACAAGAGAAAAGTGCTACAATTGCATCTGAGATACCATTTATATTAGTAAATCTCTACAAAATACAATGAAATAAAAAATTTCAAAAACAAGACACATTTTTCAAAGTAGCATGTAAAAGAAACGCTAGAATTTATAAAATGTGAATTTTAAATGAAAAGCACCTAAATCTTAGTAAACAAGCTATTCACACAAGCAAACTGATCCCTCACGTTGCGGAGAGACATTTTGATGACCATGACAAAACAACAGGAAAGAGGGAAAGAAGAGCAGAAGTAAGACAGTGTAGCAACACGAAGAGCTGTATCCTAAGGCGATGAAACAAAATAACTGTCTGTGCACATTTCTTTTTCTTCCTTTCTGTCTGTCTTTCTTTGTTTCTTTGTTTCTCTTTTCTTTCTTTTCTTTTTTATTTTTTCTGACACAGAGTCTGACCATGCAGTCTAGATCTGCTTGGAACTTGCTGTGTAGCCAAAGCAAAACTCAAGATCTCAGTCCTCCTGCCTCAGTTGCCTGAGGGCACTATTTCAGGCAGGTTGCATTTGACAAACTGCTTACAATACACTCGAACTAAAACATAGTACCAACATTTATTTTCTCTATATCCAACTTTTCTGTTTTATTTTTTATTTTTTGGAGAATTTCATACATGAGTATTCTAGTCGCATAATTTCTACCCCCCACAGTCCCTCTGCAACTTTGCCCAAGTCTCCTCAACTCACTCACAATTTCTTGTTCTCGTCTTGAGTTATTATTGTTACATATAAATACATATACTTATAAAGGTACATAAAAATAAATAATGCCGGATAGGCGGAGGTATGGATGGGGGAGGGGATCTGGATTTGAGTGGGAAATGTATGAAACTTAAAGAGCTCAGTAACAAACTGTTAAAAATGAAAAAAAAATCCTGTTTCACTAAAAATAAATAAATAAATAAAAACAATGCATTGAGTCCATTTAGTGGTGCTCATGTGTACATACATGTGTTTAGGAATGCCCACTTGGAATTAGTGCTCATGTGTGCATACATGTGTTTTAGGACCGGCCACTAAGTAACCTAGTCACTGGCAAAAACTGATTCTTCACACCGTTAACATCCATTGTTTGCCTTGCAGCTCTGCATCTTCAGGTAGGGTCCCAAGAGATGTTTCCCATCCACCTGGGCATGTCAACTGGTTTTGTCATTATGTAGATCTGATTAGACTACCATACTAGAGAGTTCATAGATGTAGCTTCCCTACAATGTGTAAAATCATGACAAAGAAATAGAATCATCACTGATTTCAACACACACTCTTTTCTTTTGTTTGTCTTTGTATATTCCAAGCTATTACATAGTCTCTGATGTAGTCTTACAAAAGCCGAACTTGACTAGTACTTTCCAGGACAGCTTATATTCAATTAATAGTTGAAAATATGCTCACAAATCTAGTTCACACAGATGGAGAATTTATTCTGTTACTCATAACAGGATTCCCTTGCCTATTTTTAAGACATTAGAGAAAATTTGGCAAGTAATTTCAACACTTTATGTGGAGTTCTATTAAACAGCAAAATACTTATTTCTGTGTTGTTCTAAAATTAGTTCGTGATATAAATATCTTGACTATAGCTTTTAATTTGTTACATATATTTATATGCAACTATAAATATAAATTTATGGAATGGATTTGTATAGCTACACCCACCTATATCTGCATTTAAATGGGTATAATTATTTGCACTTCAGTTAATCTTGAAATCATCATGGGGTGTGTTGTTTTACAGTTGGCTTCCTCTTCTATATGTATTTCGTATCACATCAGTCAAAATATTTATGATTGGATGCCAGTGATTGTTAGGTTATGTATCTCAAACCAACAGGAAGGCTGTTAATGTCATTAGCCCATCAAACTAGTCTTCTAGCTTAATCTAGGTGGTTTTCTTGAAATTTGATCAAACTTTATAAAACATTGAGAAAACTGAGTTTCATATTAGACAAAGAGCATTCAGAAAAGAAGGTAAATTTGATTGCTTATTTAAAAATAATTATAAGGAAGTTTATTTATTAAAGAATTTCTTAATTCATAATGTCGCTAAAATTTATTAAAATTATCTATTATACTCTACATACATTTAAAAAAATACCAACTAAGTAAAATAAATAATGAAAACATGGGTAAAGAAAACAACCCATACATTTAAATTAATAAAATATTTATTCTGAAAAGAATTAGCATTAATATATTTATAAATTTAGAATATTTTCTGAAGTCTGCTATATTGCAAAAATTAACATGTAAATGGTTTTATTTCAACAAGACCTTATCTTGACCTGATCAAGAACTTCAATACATTGTTCATGATGAAAAATTTCTAACATATAGTTATATTATCAAAGCAGACCAAATTGATAAATCAATTTAGGTGGATATCCCAATCTTTTGATTTTTTGCTATTTACTCCCCAGAGTAAAGAACTTTTCATATACTTTTACTGCTGCATTCTGTTTCTGTGATGTCCTTCTCACTCTCACCTCTAATCTGTCATTTATTGAAAAACCTAATTTCAGGGGCCTAATAGGTTTCCATAGCAAACTTCAAGTGTAAATCTTAAGACAATATTCCCCCAAGGAAATATGCCTTTACTTTCTACAAAATATTCCCTGTCAATATTTATAAATATTTGAAGAGGATGATCAATATCAATTACATGACATCTATGCCAATGGTCATTACTTATTTGCCATGTATGTGGCATAAACTATGAATGCTCTTACTTGTTTTGACATATTAAAACATGAGCATTTTACTATTTGCCTTTTACAGAAGGCAAGTCTATAGAACAGAAAGCCAAAGATTCACGCCCAAGATTGTGTAGCCAATGAGGTCGTAGGTGAACTAAGGAAATCTAAAGAAATGCTGAGATAACGTGGCTATTTCCTAGATTGTAATTGTTGTTTGTGCATATTCTAAACTTTGTAGGGGTTCATTAGCTCAACTCCCCAATAGAAAAATCCATAACTATTTTCCTCATCCTGATCTATGAGAATAAATGATAAATCCTTCCTAAAATTGATTTAATTATTGAAAAAAACTCTTGAAATGTGAAATTTAGATGGATTCACTTTGCAAGTATGACAAAAATTTAGGAATATTAGCATACACTAATATAGCTAATTTGTGTTTTATTGTTTGAATTCTTAATCACCATAGTCTAAAATCATAACAGAAATTATATTCACATTTCTATATCATGATGTTTATTTTTACCTGGAATTCTGTCTATGTTTACCTGGAATTTTTGTTTTACCATCAAAACTTACTTTCTATCACAGATGCATTATTTTTAAGATTCTAATTCATTAAGAGAACGGTATTGTCTTAGGGCCTCTGTAATAAAATAAAAGTAATAATTACATAATACACAATAAGAAGTTATTTTTAAAAATCCTGAAATTAGGATATACTACTAGAGTCCAACATTCAGATATAAATATCCATGGAATACCTTTAACTTTATGCATTTCCAGTGAAAAGACTCTCTACTGTTTTTCAGCAATTGCATTCTCCCATTTGTATTCCTTAAGATGATGCAGAATTACCATTATCTTTCTTACATATGAAAGTTTCAAATATCATTAAGCAACTGCCATAAAAATTCTATACTTTTTCTTTTCAGGTGACAGTCTCTAGTCTTTTCAACCATTCCTTATATGGCATGGCTTCTAGAGACCCTTACATACTTCAGTAGTTCCCTGTCCTAAAATTTAGGTGATAAGGCTGGAAAGATGGCTCAGTGGTTAAGAATACTGGTTGTTCTTGCAGAAGACCGGAGTTCGAATCCCAACACCCACATGGCAGCTAACAACTGTCGGTAAATCCAGTCCCAGGGGATCCGATGGCCTCTTCTGTCTTCCGCGGGCATCGCACAACACGGGTGCACTTACCTACATTCAAGTAATACACACGTACACATAAAATAAAAATGACAAAAAAAAATTAGGTAATAAAATCCTAAGAAGATCTTATGCTCGGTAAGATGTAGATATTTGTAGCTATTAGCTAACTTCATTTTCCAATTATTGTTCTAGTTATTACATCAATAACGATATCTCTAAGTAGTGAACTTGTTTCCAGTCACTGAAAGAATTTTCAATATTAATTAATTAAGGCTTGAAAAGATAGATTAAGAGGGCTGGAAAGATGGCTCAGTGCTTAAGAACAATGACTACTCTTGCAGAGGACCCAAGTTCCATTCCCAGC